GGGGCTTGGGGGTTGAGGTGGAGGAAGGAGGATAGAAGTCGGGGTACAGTGGCGAAGAGGTTGGGGAATAGAGGTGGGGAGGGAACAGAGGTGTGAAAATGGCAGTGGGGAGGAGGAGAGGTGTGGAGGTAGTGTGGGGGAAAATGGAGTCTGGAAGGGTGGTGGAAAAAGGTGAAATCATTCTGCCTCTTGCACATCATCTACATCTTATAGACATGGTTCTATATATTTCAATAATTGTTAGTTGAAAGACTCCTCCGTACTCAGGAGATACAGGCCAGCATTTCAGTTGAATGCAGTCCTACGACATCAGGTAGCGATTTTCCCATTGCAGGTTCGTAGTCAGCCCTTTGGCTCACACAGTTCTCCTCAGAAAACAAACAGGCGTTATTTGCTTCCACTTAAGTTCACATCCCGTGAAAGGATAAAAATCTTCTTAAACTCTCATAGCTTCGCCAGCATTCACAGCGTCATTTCAATGCACCAGCCCCGGAATTTTAGTACATCAAACAGGAAAGTTAGAGTTGGATTTTATTTTTCATACACACCTAAAACATGTAAACTATGGCTTAGATGAAAATCACAATATACAGTCACACTTTGACAATCAATGAAAATTATCATACAGCGCCTAGCACCTTAGTCTGGTTTCAGTAGGGATCATATTTCAGGAAATTGTTCTTGGGGTTTGGCAGTGACGGAATTAACATATCTTTACTCCATGTAGTATATATATGGAATAATAGACTGAAGGATAAAACATGGTATTTTTCTCCTAATTATAATTTTTGTTCCAACTCATAGCCCTCAATCTGTGATCAACTCAAGTTTCAGTTACTCACGTTTGTAACAAATGGCATTATTCCGAGGTGTACTTAGCAGTGAATTTTCAAACTTACTGACATCTGCAGGGAAAGTTCAAACGAAAGCAACAGGTCTTCACTACAAAGACTATCGTTGTGAAAGGGGAGAAAAACTGGGTTGGACACAACTGTGGTCAAAACTTTGCAGTGGCAATACTTCCCGCAGTAACAGCTTCCCTTTAAATGGCTGTCATGATGCAAGATCAGTAGGAATACAATTACTCCCATGCTCAGTTCAGTTACTAAACTAGATCATTTTCATCGAGGCTCGTCCAGGCGATTATTTTCTGCTGACATGTCTGACACGTAGCCGTCATTTACACGTATTTTAAAGTATCTCCACCTCTGAAGTACTCAAAAAGTAAAGAAAACAAACTAGCCTAGAGAAGTTTCTTGTCCATTAAATCCAATTCATAAGGGACCCTTAGCAAGTCAGATGACTAAAGTGGAAGCGTTTTGGAATTTTATCCGTCTTTCTCAGGCTCGATGTTCAACAGGATTACATTTATTAACAAAACACACACCATTTTTGTCGAGAAATTGTTGTGGAAAATGTTCCTCACCTCGGTCGGACTTCATTGTCGGCGATGCAGTCACCCGGGTGATCGCCCCTTTCCTCTCGGATCCTCTCACAGCCTCGGGCGAAGGGGGGTGATAATGGAGGATGGGGGGGAATAACTGACGAGACACCCCCCCCCCCCTTTCTCCTCACTCCCTCACCGCGGAGATGTCATCCAGGGCCTCCTCTCCACCCCCCTCCCCAACGCCGTTGAGGAATCCAAAAGCAGTCGGCTTTGATCCGCGATATTCTTCTCACGAGGGGGCCCAGTTTGCGGTTACGAGATTGCGACCGGCCGGCAGGCAGCCCCCCGACACCCGCCCGTGTCTGTCCGCCTAGCCCAGCCTCTGTCACCCCACTGCCGCCTCCATGTTGTCAAAACACAAGC